AAAGTATTTCTGCAAAAGCCTGTCTAGATTGGCAAGTGCCTTTGCGCAAAAGATTTGCTTTTGCGCAAAAGCATCCGTGGTCAGTCTAGACGCGATTTTGCGCAAGAAAGCCCCGATCACCATTTTAGCCATGGGGCTTTTTTGTGCAAAACAGTTCTTCCCTGTCTACACTGGCCCTCTTGCACAAGTATTCTTGCGCAAGAGGGCTTTTTCCCGAGCAGGAGTGTGAAAGTATTTGTGCAAGAATCACTGATTTTGTACATTACAAAGTCAGTGATCTTGCGCAAATTCAAGGGGCCAGTGTAGATAGCTGGCAAGTTTTTGTGCAAAAGCGGCTGCTTTTGTGCAAAATCTTACTCCAGAGTCTAGCCTCATGAGAGTGCTTATTTTGAGCTGAAGTTGTGATGAATTTGTGACCTCAAACAAAACCCATTGGGTGGGGTTTGAAAGGACTGCTCTAGCTGGAGCCAATATTAGAGTTGGAGTGATGTCTGATAAGCTTAATAGTGTGCATGTAGGCCGTTTTGTTTTTAATAGGTTTTGTGTGCAGTGCTTTCATTTTAAGAATAAAACAGGCTTTCATAAAAATGTGTGTTAACTATAATTGTGGGCAGGCAGTCACACTGTTAACCATCTCTGAAGATGGAAACAAACAGGCCTGCTTAGGAGGCCTGTCTCTGCTAGGAACAACAGCAAAAGTAGAGAACTCCAATGTGGAAAGTATCAGAGGGGTAGCCGTGTTAGTCTGAATCTGCAAAAGCGGCGAGGAGTCCTGTGGCACCTTATAGACTAACTAAAGTGTTGGAGCATAAGCTTTCGTGGGCAAAGACCCACTTCGCCAGATGCATGTAGTGGAAATTTCCAGAGGCAGGTATAAATATGCAGGCCAGAACACTTCAATCTTCCTGGACACACAATTGCAGATCTAAAAGTAGCCATCCTGCAGCAAAAAAACTTCAGGACCAGACTTCAAAGAGAAACTGCTGAGCTACAGTTCATCTTCAAGTTTGACACAATCAACTCTGGATTAAACAAAGACTGTGAATGGCTTGCTAACTACAAAAGCAGCTTCTCCTCTCTTGGAATTCACACCTCCAGATCAGCTACTAGAAGTGGGCTTCATCCTCCTTGATTGGATCCACCTCGTCATCTCCAGCCTGATCCTGGCATGCACATTTATACCTGCCTCTGGAAATTTCCACTACATGCATTTGATGAAGTGGGTCTTTGCCCACGAAAGCTTATGCTCCTACACTTCAGTTAGTCTATAAGATGCCACAGGACTCCTCGCCGCTTTTCCAATGTGGAAGTATCCCAGGCTGAAGGGAGCAAGATGTGGGTTTCCACCTAGGAAAGGTAAGAGCTGGGGAGCTGGAAGGCTAAGAAGGAGTGTCCTTGTTGGAACATGGAGGAAAAATAAATACACGTGTAGTTGTCCTTAACTATTACTCCACTTTAATGCCAACACCAGTGCCAAACCCTGAATCTACCAGAAAGTGCATGTGTGTGCACCTGTTTGAAAAACTTCCATTTTGCTCAAGAACATCCCTGTGGTGAGCTTCTGTTTCCCAGAGCCAGGAAGCAAGCTCCATTGGCTGCTCTGATGCCAGAGTATCCTGCAATATCTCACAGTGTACAACACCCTGGCCTAAACAGGAGCTTTGAAATACCTTGATTGCCTGGAACCAAAAGTGCAAGTCCTGCCAATTGCTGACAATATTCCCCTTCATTCCTCCCCTTGTAAATAAAGCAAATCCCATACAGTAGAGTTGGGCAGAAAGATTTTTAAAACTTGGGTTTTTCTTGCTAAGCCGGGAGCCTACTCTTTCCGGTGTTCCGATTTTCTTGGCCATCATTTCAGACACCCTCTGCCACCATGTGAATGGCAGCTGCCTGCATTGCAGGGGTTCTGTATACACACATGATGTAAAGCACCTGCAGCTCAAATGGAGCCTTGTAAATATAGAGAACATCACAATACCACATAGCGCACAACACGACAGAGCCGTGCAGACACTTCCCCCGCCCCATATACGTGTTGCATGTGGGACAGAGCTAGATGGTTCCTTCAGAATAGAGCGCCATTCTCACCCACTTTTCAGTGACATTTACATCTTGCATCAGGTACAGTGTCTCAACAGGTCTCAAATGAACACCCCATTATTAATAGTAAAACACACCTCTTGCAAGGTTGCTTTATCCTGGGTTGCTTTATCCAAGCTGTTTTTACATCTTTGAATTGACATCTGAACATAGCCCTCCCCACCAAGCCATCAGCCCCGAGATTTTAATTGATGCCAGCTGCTTCAGGCTTTCACAGAAAGCCTCCACTTCACAAGGCAGCTTTTTCTAACATGCAGCTGCACCTTTCTCAAGTCTCTAAGGCAATTCAAACCATCTGTGGACTTTGAAGCAGCCCCCGGAAGTCCCAAAAGGGTCTTAGGTACAGCCTACACAAAGGGATAATGCAAATGGACCACATCCAACATGTTTGAGCTGAAGCAGTGATGAATTTGTGACCACAGAAGAAACAGCTTGGATGGGTGGGGTTGGGAAGGCTGCTTCAGCCACAGCCAAAGTTAGATTCAGAGGTGGGGGAGGAGCTCAACTACACAGAGCAGTTCATGGGAAAGAGAGCTCATTCAAGTGAGTCACTGTGCACCACAATTCTGAACCACTCTATTCCTCTCCGCCCTGTAACAGCAGCATACCCCTTCTGAGAGCAGAGAAACAGCTGCAGCCTCAGTTTTCTTCTCTTCCAACTGAGGTATCATGGGTTCCTTTTTTGGGAAAGAGATGCTGGAGGTTTAATGCTCTAGAAGAGTCCACCCACTTCCACACATCAGCTTTTCCCAAGCATGCTAGGCTTTCCACTTTGTAAACACAGGGTTCTTCCCTTTAGCTACCCCCTTCCAAGTCCTTGCCCCAGGCTCAGATTCAGTCAGTTCTTTTCCCCCTTGGCATGACAAGGTGTCACTTCCTGGGGGCACAGCTACAATGTAGGAAAGCCCTCTCCCTCCCTCCACTCCAGAGTCTAGCTCAGAGACTCAAAACTAGGCAGTAGCACATCTCCTTCATTTAACCCAGCCTTTTTAATGGTTTCCTGGAGCATTTACCCTGCAGACTGTCTCCTCAGGAGAACCCCCTCACTCCTCTTTCCCAATTCTCCCCCTGCATGAAAGTCCTGATTCCCTGGAAGCTCCCCCAACTCCTAGCTCATGCTCTTGTTACTAAAGAACTTCCTCACACTTCCTGTTTTCTGAAGGTCTCGTCTCATACTGAGCACAGGTGGCCCTGTTAACTCCCTGCAGGCCTGCTCAGTAGCCTGCTCAGGGGAAGTAAACGGGAATCAGATGAGACTGATCCCAAAAGCTTTTCAAGAGACCAGCTCAGCCTATCACACACTTCAATGGCCACATACCCTGTAGGTCAGTGGTTCCCAAACTTTTTGGATCATGTCCCCCCTCCTTTTGATTTTTGAAAATCCCTCATGCCCCCTCCCCAATTAGCAGCAAAACTTGTTGAGTGAAAAAAAAATAGGAAAAAAGGAACTGAACAGGGCAGCAAAACTTGATAGGAGGGAGGCTGGGTCACCTCATGCCCCCCCGGAATTTCTTTATGCCCCCCAGGGGGGAATGCCCCCCAGTTTGGGAACCCATGCTGTAGGTGTTACTGAACCGTAGGCCTGGACTGTAACCCCTTGTTGAAGGGACAAGAAAGAGACTGTCCCATTAAAAAAAAAAATCCTAGAAACAAAGTAAGTTATTCTTCAGCTGGTGAATGGGATGCCACCCCAATTACTGGAGAGGTGTTATTTATTGCCATTGGTGGGAGAACCCCACCCTTAGTACTGTTTATGAAGTGGCCATTCCCAATCAGTCTAGAAAGTTATTTCCTCTTTCTCTGATTGCCACTGTATGGGGGAGGGGGGGAAGGGGTGATCTTTGTTCTGATGGGATTTCCTAGCCCCATTGCTTTAGGGGAGAGTCTGCAACTGCCTCTGGGAAAGAGGCATAATTATGTGATGCCACTATTGGCATTATAAAGATATTGCCAGAGAGGAAGCATCATTTAGGAACCAGCTGAAGTCTCTGTAACTCCATGACTTAGGACGCTCATCAAGTCTCCTGAAAACTGAGACTAAATTAGAACCTTGGGTTTCCATTCCATTTGGATAAGGCATTGGATAAAATGGTGTCCCTGGCCTCTGTTTGTCAGAGGCTGGAGAGGGATGGCAGGAGACAAATCGCTTGATCATTGTCCTCGGTCCACCCTCTCTGGGGCACCTGGCATTGGCCACTGTCGGCAGACAGGCTACAGGGCTGGATGGACCTTTGGTCTGACCCAGTACGGCCGTTCTTATGTTCAGAAGCCAGATTCCCTAATGCAGCATTTTTCAAATATGGCTGCCAGTGGATTTTTCTTGCAGCTGCAGCAGCCTCCAAAGCATCAGTGGAGAGGGGGGGAAGGACATGGGGAGCAATGCCCCCCAAACTGTACATGTTGATAGTAGGGAGCACAATTTAAAGGTTTCCCCCCAAACAGCTCAAATCATCACCCCCAACCTTACCCTCAGTCCACCCTTCCACAAAGCAGTGTCCCTCCCTGCAGCACCCAGGTATTGTTCCTGAATAGCTGCCACGAAAGACAGAGAGATGCACTGCCATGGTGTTTGCACTAATGCCCTCATCAGAGATCAGTGCCCTACACTGCACAGCCTTCTGGGGGACTCCAGGCAGAGCCTCTGGAGACACATGGAGCCAGCATGTGTCGCACTCAAGTAGCACACCAGTGAAGACAGCAGTGATGTTCAGTTGCCGAGGTGCTGCAGCTCCCCTGTTCCCATCTGGTGGGGGCATAGGGAACCTAGGACTCTGCAGGTGGCCAGTGAGTCCCCAACCCACCTTCCCCAGGACAGGCTTTTGCTGAAGGGCCATGAGAAACAAGAATAGAGACAAGTTGGTGCTTAGTATCTACATGCATATTTATTTGTTTTTCAGAGAATTAACTAAGTATTTTAGAAAAAATTGTGGAATGACTACCAGCAAGAGTTGGTGACCACCTGCAATTTTGTTGTGAAAACCCCTGATCCAATGCCACATGAAAATGAAAACCAGTCCTGTTGGTATGCGGTGTTGGGCAACGGAGTAATAATGTACTTTAAGAGTTATGGAGAAGGATGGCTGTAGAATGTGGCAAATGGAATTCGACACAGGATACTGAGATAAATTCTTGGAAAACTTGGAGCGAAGCCAATTCACTCTCTGAGTAGTCTGACACTGCCTGCACCTTCCATTTCAAGGGAAATCAAACAATAATAAACAACAATCAAAAATAATTGCATCTACATTCAGAGCATTAACTGAATACAAGGATTAAACATATCGGAGTGTGACAATTTTGAAGATGGGACCATCCATACCCATGGAATGTTAAGAATGCTCCACATTGTCTGTTAGCCTAGGGGCTGTGTACTAGAGAAAGGACACTGGGAAGTGGAAACAGCCAGGTCAGCATTAGGGACTGCTGTATTAACACTGAAGGCTTAGCATTTCATTTTGGTAAACAGAAAAATTTCTTTCCCAAGTGTGAAACCACTGCTTGTCACATCTCAGCCACTTCCCAGCAGTTTCGTCATGTCAGTGGACCAGATAATTCACGCATTTGGGGAGGATCCCTAAAATGAAGATCTGAAAGAGAGCACTGCCAATGCCTAAAATGAACAGCTCAGGCTTTGGATCCAGCCAGAAGGATCCAATTCTGCTGTAATTGAAGTGAATAGGGTTTTGCTGTTGATCTAAAAAACAATAGTAATAGACCCAAAGGGCAGATTTGTTTGCAGATTCAGTATTGGTCTAGCTTCCCCAGCCTCGTGCTCAAAAATGGCATCTGCAAAGCAGCCAGGGGGATCAGGACTAGAAGTCTGCTCAGCACTGCTGGCTGAAATGGGAATGGACGTGTTTAACTGGGAGGAATGACAGAAAGAACCCTTTATAAAGATACAGGTTCAACTTGCTTCACCTTTGGATTTTATAGTCCCAAAAGATTACTCCCAACCTCTCCCAAAAAAGGTGTGTGGGCATTCTGGGAGGCATTTTATTGTGTCACTGTAGACCTGGAGCACTCAAATGCTAAAGGAAATAGCAAGGGAAAACAAAAAGCAGAAACCCATTAACTTTTTGCCTGCTTAACAGTGTACCTCATAAAATGGCGAAACAAGCATTTTTAAGGGTGCGTGAAAGTTCCTGTTCTGCATTGGTATTCCACCCAGCCAAACAAGCCTATTTATAAACTTAAAAAACAACAAATAGTCTGGTAGCACTTTAAAGACTAACAAAACACGTAGATGGTATCATGAGCTTTCGTGGGCACAACCCACTTCTTCAGACGAGCGGAATGTTGGATGTCCAGAACCAAAATAAATAAGGGAGAAGGAAAGCACAGGGAGGAAAAAATGGGAGGGGAGAGGACAAAAGAAGGCAGTGGGTATATAAATATCAAAGGGAAAACCAAACTGGTATGAAATAGGCAAACTGATAGTCTATATAAGCACCTAAAAACTGGATAGTTAAAAGGAGCAAATAAGGACCTATCTATGGGAGTCATAAGGAAAACACACCTTTAACTCAGTCTCATGCTATGGTTTAACAGGCTCAGCCTAGTCCGGAATGGACTTTTTTCAGGTTGATATAATTAGGTATGATTGGCAGTTTTTGCTCAAGAAAATGATAATCATGAAATAGGTACTGTAGGTCAGGACTGGAATGCATTATAAGCCTTTGCAAAGAGGCTCTCAAACAAAGAGACTTTCATATAAACATATGAGGAAATGCCATTTCTCCACATCAATCAGAAAGGGAAAACTGGGTAGGATTAGGAAATATACTAGGTAGGAGAAAGAAGAATATAACCAGCAGCAGCCCATAGCAAAATTGACACTTTAGGACTGCAACTACTTGGTGTTCCTAAATTTAAAGGGGAAGTCTCAAAAAGACATAAAGAGGAGGAGAGTGGTACATTCTATAAGGCTATGTCTACACTGAAGTCTTTTGCCAGCAGACAGCATGCTAATGAAGCACTCGTTAGCATTTGTCGCACTGTCATTTGCATATCTCTGCTGATGCTTATTGCGCAAGAGGTTTTTGCGCATAAACAAGCAGTGTAGATGGGTCTGTTTTGCACAAAAACCCCTTTTTGCACAAGATCCTGTATACCTCCTTTTTTGAGGCATAAGGGATCTCACACAAAAGGGTTTTTTGCGCAAAACGGACCTGTTTAAACTGCTTGTTTTTACGCAAAAACCTCTTGCACAAAAAGCATTGGCAGAGATATGCAAATGACAGTGCGACAAATGCTAACGAGTGCTTCATTAGCATGCTGTCTGCTGGCAAAAGACTGCAGTTTAGACGTAAGAGGGCAATTTTGCACTCAGGAAAGTTAGTAGGGTCCAGGAAATCACCAAGTAAGATGTTCTTGGAGAAAAGGATGCTTTGGTATTGTGCCCATGGTTTTCTTATACAGGCAGTCCCCGGGTTACGTACAAGATAGGGACTGTAGGTTTGTTCTTAAGTTGAATCTGTATGTAAGTCGGAACTGGCGTCCAGATTCAGCCGCTGCTGAAACTGATCAGTTTCAGCAGCGGCTGAATCTGGACGCCAGTTCCGACTTACATACAGATTCAACTTAAGAACCCCAGGCATCCCCAGGTCAGCTGCTGCTGAAACTGATCAGTTTCAGCAGCGGCTGAATCTGGACGCCAGTTCCGACTTACATACAGATTCAACTTAAGAACAAACCTACAGTCCCTATCTTGTACGTAACCCGGGGACTGCCTGTACACTATATGTGAGTCAAGCCAGTGTATTAGTCTACTACTTTCACTAACATTCTTTGTGTAAAGTTTCATTTGTACAGCCTTTATGAAGCTTTTCAATGCACAAATAAGATCAAGTCAGAGATTCCTACCCATTTTACAACATCCAGAATAGAGCTGGGTTATTAGAACCTTAGCTGGAGTCCCTCATCATACCAGGTTTGGTTTGCAAGGGCTGTAGGTTCCCAACCCCCTCTACCTTTTGTTTTGAGTCTCAAGATCAAATATTCCTTATATTTCAAAGTAAATCTCTGCAGTAACTTTTATGTTTCACCCAGTTTTGTGTTGAAACTATGTCCCAAGTAGAAAACTCTAGTGTCTGTAATGAAAAACTAAAAGCAGGTCCATATTTAGTCAACAGTTGAGTTTCTAATGAGACAAGGAATGAGACGTACTTGTCATGTTTAAAATAAAGATGAATCTGACTCAAAACTTCCCAGAAGTTCAATATTAAGATTCATTATTCTTGTCCAGAATCTAGTTTCTGGGCTTTCTGAACACATTTCACTTGGCTGAATTCTAAACTCATTCACTGTTATAGAGTGCATTCATAAATTTTTTTTTAAAAAACCACCACGAAGTAAACAGTAGGTCAGATAAGAACTGCTACATGCTATTCTCAAAACAACAGTGAAAGCAAGCCTTAAAATCTAAATGCCTCCCCCCCCTTTTTTTTTTGTAATGCCATATGAGTGAGGTCAATGCTCTTTTTCAATACATGTGTGTTTGAGTATTCACTGGCCCTGAGGGAGAGCTCTGAAAAGCTTTAGGCAATTTATTGAATTTTTTGTAAGGTGAATATTTGCACATAGTGGAACATTTAAAAAAAAAGTCAACAGTAAAGAGCGTGACTTCTTACTAAAACCATCACAGGGTTTATGTGAGTCTGACAGAATCAATAGATTCCAGTAAAGCCTTTGATGTGGAGATGTGTTAGTGAAGAGAACTTGCTTCTGTCTGTTTTTAATGCTTCCAGCATGAGCATACTTATTGGTGAAGAGTGGGAGTTAAATGCAAGAGAGGCAGGTAAATCAAAAAACAAATAACACATTTTAGATGGCACCTTATCCCAACCAGAAGCGGAGGAGCACTTAGATCTCCCATGAATTGGGAGTTCATGTATGAATTGGCTTCTGTCAACAGTTTAGATTTACTGTGGCTAAAGTGGCATTTATCTTTGGGGCTAAGATAACAATCAGATTCCTTTCTAATTCTGTCCCTTACGTGTCCTTTGCTGTTTGCACCACATGTGGTTAAATGGAATCTTTGTTGCTCCTGAACAGGTTACTCAAAGGTCAAAATTACAGCACTATATGCCCTTTCTTTTCCTAAGCCTAAGTACTGTACATTTAATCCCTAAAGGATATGGCACATATACATGAAAATGCACCTATGAGGATATTGTTTCTCCTGTCAGCATGCAAGGTTATTTGATGTACCCACATTGACTTACCACCTTAGGAGGATACAGTTCTTTTAATTCTATTTTGTTGTCCTTGGTATTAATTTGAATTCTTTGATGCAAAATTCATGGCAGAAATTGGACAGAAATGTATTAGGCTTACATCTAAAGCAGGGCTGAAGTAGTTATTTTTTGTGCTGAACTTCACCTAAACCTCACTGAGACCAATGGGAGAGGCAGAAGCTCACAATATATAAGGCACTGGACTGGAATTCAAGAGACTGAGCTCTACCCCAACTCTGCCCTTGGCTTGCTGAGCAAACCATGTCACTGGTTTGTGCCTCAGTTTCCCCACCTTTAAAAATAGACTGGTGCAGACAGGGCCATCCCTAGGGAGGTGTGGGGCTTAGGACAAATCTGTCCTTGCTGGCTTAGGGGATGGGGAAAATCAGCTCTGTATCGGTGGCTGTGCCAGCGGGATGGATTCAGCCTGGTCCCAGACCATTGCTGGTGGTGGCAGTTGCCAATGCCTATCGCAGGTCTATTGCTGGCCATAGCATCACAGCGGTGCAGGGCATCGCTGCATCAAAACGCAGGCGGCAAAGCCAGGTGCTATCTCCACTGACTGTCAACAAGATGTCAGCCCTGCAGAAGTGATGGATTGGTCTTCCAGGACCAAACATGCTGGCCAATTGCACCAGCGCACAGGGCCCCCCCCCCCAAAGCAGGGGCCTGGAGCCTCACCCCGATTCACCGTGCTTAAGGAACAGCTCTGGGCACTGACCTTCTGGGTAAAATATCTTGAGCTCCACAGGTGAAAAGAGCTACATGGGCCTAATCCAAAGTCCACCACAGCCCATGAATGTCTTGCTACTGACTGCAATGAACTTTGGATCAGCTCACTTTTATTATGAGAGCATTCAGGAGTGCCCAGGATCAGGCCCATAGGAGAAAGATGAAGGTCATGGTGAGTAAAAGCTCAGCCCTAGTCAATTAACAATTGTGTCCCCTCTCCTGCCCACCAGCCTTGATGCCTATCTCTTTTCCAGTGAAACGACACATTCTATATTGGGATGCCTTCATGGTGCCCTCAGTAGAGCCAGCATTTGCTACAAGACAGAGGTTCCCTGAAGATGAGACTCTGGCTGTTATTGAAAATTGCAGTTCTAACAAAAGGAGCATCATTTGCCTATTGATATGGTGATACGATGGGGAAGAAGCAACCGCACCCCCTATAACAGGTGTGGAGTTGGAATATTTTCAGTCTTCCACTTCCTTATGCAGTTAGTCCTCTGCCACCATGAGTAGGGAAAAGGAAAGAGAATCACATCTGCAAATGCTAGTCACATTGCCTTGTGCACATCTGGAAGGTGCTCAGAGGCTATGGTAATGAAGACAATGTAAGAACCTGCGTAGACTACATTAGACTAGAACAGAACAGAACTGAATAGACATTCCAGACACACTGACCTAGTCCCAGGAGATTTTTCCTTTGCAGAGAGAAGCAGAGAATCTTATCATTAATATCTGGTTTACAGCCTCTTCATAACAGTTGCTTCCGTCTCAAGTCCACCCCCCATCTCAGCAGAGCAATGTACTGTCACATTGGTTATAAGCCTACGTTTTTGTGCAGAAAGTGAATCCAATAGTGTCTAGCTCAGGAGAGGAAGTGATACC